AGTGTATTCTGGACAGGCGGTGCAACGAACAGGAGAGTGTGATCTGGTAAACCGGAGACCTCCATGTCCTTTACCCATCCTGCCACAGCTGGGACAACGTTCCAGTTCTCAGGGTGCGCGAGGATAAAAGTTACGCCCACAAACACCAAGATGTAGTGGAATACGTGATTTGGATCCCCCTGCGCTGTGTTGCACGTTGGTGACTGCAACAGTTTTTGCGACGTTTTAGACGATTGTTACGCATCGGGACATACAGACTTCTGCTTGGCTTCGCCTGAACGCCGTCTAGTAGCTCGACACTGTCATCGGTGCGAGAATGCGGCGATCAGTACCAACCGTCCTCGTTTAAGGTCTTCATACGATGAAGCACATCCTTGGGGTGGCTCACCGAGCACTGCATGACACTTGGTGTGATGCCTGCCAGTGCGGCAAAGTGTTGACACGCTCCGCCCGCTCGGTACTGCAGGGGTTGCGGAGTCTTGTTTTTGTGTGTACTCGGCAGGATACAGATCTCCGAGATCTCCGAGGAGGTTACGCAGATGTGATTGATATGGGTATGATAGACAACACTGGAGGCTCTTGCTCAGGTTTTGTCACTCGTTAGTGCAAGGAACTGGAGTCAATCCTTTGTGAAAAACGCTCTTGACAAGAGCCCGCGAGCGTGATAACGCTGTACACGCGCCGCCACCCTAAACACGATACCGTGGAGTCATCTGACGTCGGTAGGACAAGGTTCGGGAGGTAGGCACCGGAACACAAGGACAACAGAAGTGGGCGGTTTGTTAGATCCACGGGACAGAGTTTGAAATACAAGGACAGAAGCTGTGGGTGGTTGTTGCCGTCGAGCGCGTCAAGGAGATCCGGGAAAGCGTTTGGAATACAAGGACAGCTATTGCCAGCACGCGTCAAGGAGATCCAGCGACAAGAAACAAAGCAGCAGTTGGAGATATATCGTGCCGTGTTTATTGCGGCGTGCTTTTACGGAGGAAGAGATCGTGAGGGAGGAGAATGACGAAACGGAGAGGGATGAGCAGAAGAAGGATGCACCGGCAGGAGCAACGGCTGCAGGGGAAAAAAATATTGCCGGGGCAGCTGGCTGAGCTGGGCTCGATACACAACGGGTGAGCGATTACAGCAGCAGTCGAAAACTGCCCAAAATCCCGAAAGATTCGGCGAAGGCCGTGAGCTGGCTGAGGAGAATGCGGACTTTCCTGGCTAGCGAGGGTTTGGAGCAGACGCTTGAAGATCCCTCCCCAAATGACTATTTTCCTGCCATCGGCTGTTCGGATCGCACATATCTGAGCCGGATTCATGGTGCGACGCTTGATACGGCACACAAGCGGGCAGGGGGATTTATGCTAGAAGCGATCTACGGCACAGACAGCTACCAGCGACTGTGTCCGTGAGGCGTGGAGGGTGATCCACGAATGGCTACTGCCTACTTTTGACGCTGGGAAGACGTTGCTTGTGAGATAACTTGAGACCATAGAGATGTATCCCGGCGAGGACCCGAAGCTTTTCTTCCCCGGAGTACATGGATTCGTCGACACCATGAGAGCTGTCGGCACTGCAAAGTCTGAGCGGATCGTGCAACTAGTTGCCCGCCAACTTGCGCACGAATGTGATATCGAACGCAAGTCCATCCTGGCCTACCTCACCAATGCACGAGTGAAAGTAGAAACCGTTGTTCGCACGGCATTCGCTAACGACGTCATGATCAAGGAATTGGGCAAAGTGAGAGGGCAGCAACGGCGGTGACGGCAGCAGCGGCAGCAGCGGCAGTGGGTTCGTCCTCAACAACAACCTGCACACCACCCACCTCCTAACTTCCCGACGTGGGGATCTGGAGGGCTCTATGACTGTGGACGCAACGCCGTGTACCCGCAAGAGGAGTCAGCTCCGCCGCCAGGCGCTCCGATGGGTGCCGTTCATCAGTGCGTGAGGTGCGGGAGGCATGGACACCCGGGGACTGCAATACGCCATGACGCTTTGAAGGCAACTGCACTACCTGGGGTGAGCATGGCCATCGGCGCCGTAGGTGTTGCTCAACCGGCCGCATCCAACAGCATGTGCACGTCAGTGATGGAGAGGATCTCAACGCGAGTGGCAGCGACACTGTGGCGTACCAACAGCGGAAGCGACAACGCTGGAAGCGGCAAAGGCATCAACCGAAGTCGCTCCTTCCCGTCTTTGCAGATGGAGCGGTGGCATGGGGCACAGCAACTGCGGTGGGAGCGGCGACCGGTGGTGGTGGTGTCCTCGCTACGGGAGCGGTGGGAACGTACGGGGCGCAGGCACTCGCGGCTGGAGCAGCGGCATCGGCGGCAGCACTGGCGGTGGGAGCGTCGACCCCCGGCCGCAGAGCCTTCCCCGCGACGGCGGTGAGGGAGGCGGTCGGGGCGCGGGCATTCGTGGATGGAGCAGCGGCATCGGCGGCAGCACCGGCGGCGGGAGCGGCGACCCCCGGCAGCAGAGCCTTCCCCGCGGCGGCGGCGGCGGGGGGGACGGCCGGGGCGCAGGAACTTGCTGCTGAAGCGACGGTATCAATGGTGACACCGGTAGCGACACCGGCGGCTGTTAATTTCGAAAGCACGAGAGAAGAGCTTGCCGACATACGGAGGCAATGGAGGCAATTGGTGGCCAAGAAACCGGCACTGCATGTGCACCCGGGTCCACCACTTGCGTCGTCAGCAGGCGTGGCTTTAGTAGCGAACCATCGGTGACGACGGCGACAGGTAAGGGTGTTTTCCCTCATGCACCGGTGGGGGGAACGGCCGGCGTGTTGTCAGCCGCTGGGGCTGTGGCATTGGATGCCTCGTCGACCGGCGGAACGGTAGCCCCCGCTGTATCAACTGGGGGGGCGTCGCAGCGCCCACATCAGCAGCTACACCGACACCGGCAGTGCAAGAGAAGGAGGACGAGTGCGATGAGGATAGCTGCTGATTGGGCAATGGCGACGAAGGCGGCAACAGCAGCGGCGGCAGCGGCGACATGCATCCCGGCGCCCATCCGACCGTCTACAATGGTATCTGCGCGGTGCGGGACGATGGGGGGTAATGCCAGGGGTGGACATTCGATCGTGGCAGGAAGTGTGCGGCATGAACTGAGAGGCTCGTGCTCGGGAGCTACCGTGCGGGATGACCGGTGTTTGAACGATGGGTCTACGCGCGATATAGGCACGTTTTTGAGAAGTAAAATGTTTATTTAGCAATGTTTATTCTTGGGTCGGTCCTGCTTTGTTTATTGAAAACCATGAGTTTGAGAAGTGCGTCGACGGAGACTGTTGTGTTGCCATGCGCACGAACGTGGTGTTTGTGGTCTGTGGTATACATTGTGGTTTTCATTTGTTGAGGATATGGTTTGAATACTCCAAGAAATCTCCGCGCCGAATGGTGCAGTTGATATTGTGATGTCACTGCTAGCACTCCTGTCGAAAATTATGGGGGGGGATGAATGTGATGTTGATGCCATGGTCCTCCCGGCAGAGTTCTAACAAGCTTCTGAGTTGTGTAGTTCATGTTGGAAACATATTCTACGTTTCAACTGCGGAAAATGAGAAGAAAGGCAGTTTCTTATTTGGTCGCGATTCCGCGTTTTCCCTGCGGAGTTCGGAGGTAACTTGAAGTCATTTGTTTGATTTCTTGTAAATTTTCTGCTGCTGTAGGACAGGTTGAGTTCCATTTTCGGAGACATTTTGAAGGAGGGCTGTCCATCGACACACATTCTGTTTCTTGCGATAAAGAGGAAGTATTCGATGGAAAGGATGTTATGTTTTGGCAGACAACGCAGCAGATGAGGGGCTCTAAAGCTCTTATGTTTTGGGAGATAACGCAGCAGAGGGGCTGGAAAGCTTTTGGGGTGGGAGATAACGCAGCACCGGGGCTGTTTAGATTCTATGCTTTGGGAGATAATGCAACAGGGGGGCTGTTATTTTAGAAATCCATGTATTGATGCTTGATAAATTACATAATTGGTGAAAGTTTTCTCTGGCGCTTTGTGAGCGCCTGGTTATTAACCTTTTGTCCGTTATTGCCATATTTGGTATTGTTGGTTGTATTGAACGATGTATTGGAGGAACGATTTGACATAGTTTGGTAGGACATGTTGAGGCCTATGTGCTTCCGAAGCTTATTTGAAATTGGTCAATGAGCTCAAACATAGTTGTGTGCGAGGATTTTGGGGATATTGTTCGAAGTGTTAGTTGCGCTGTGCCAGACAGAGTTGTCCCTCTAGAGTCTTTTTTGGCGTGGCTCGATGCAATGTCGATCTTTGCTGGGTATTTTTCCAAGGATAGTTCTTTGTTTTCGGTTGCTCGAGGACACGGTGATGACATTTCTCGAGAGGCGTGATTACAGTGCCGGTTCGCTCGTAATAAACACTTATTTCAGCCGAGGCTCAAATCTAATTGCCACCGCCTATAGTGAGCTGAATTTCTCGTGTCATAATTTCTCATGTTTTCCCGATGAGAATTGCACCATTTCTGATATTTCACCTTGCAAATTGCACAATTCAACGCCATTTCCGTCGACGCCGTCTCAAGGAGATCCACCGTACTTGCGGCGATAGAATGGCCCGCCCGCCCGTTGTATGCGCGAGGAGGCCGCTTCTTACATCCTTCGGCCAACCTTGAATCATATTTTTGATTGTGTCTGGGAAGTCGATTTTGTGCTATTCTGTTTCTTATTATTCCGTTTCTTACGACTCTCCGTCAAAAGAGCTTAATTCCTCACCTCTTTTAGTTCAATCTTCGAATTCTGAGCCTCGATTTCTTACGAAGGTCTTTCTTACGAGCGGGCGGGCACTGCATGAAGACTCTTAGTGAAGTCCCATAGTTACAAGGAGGAGGAGTACCCTGAAATATGAATTTTCGAAAGATCCGTTAGTTGAGATGATTTGTGGATACAGTAGGTGTCCCGATATAGTGCCGGTATGTGTCCAGGCGATTTGACCGGCACTATACCGGGCACTGGCACGATTCAGAATTATGCCTGAATAGTGCCAAACCGGCACTATTCAGGGCCTGAATCCCCCTCTATTGTGCCGGCTTGGCACTATTCAGGACTGTTCGACTTCAGAGTGCAGCGCTTGCGCTTTGCGGGGCTGGCGGAGTACCAAACGAACGGTATTTGGATCAATCGTGAGGTGGGCGACGTGGGCGGGCTTCATAAAGTTTCGTGAGGCTCTTGGACTGGAGAAAACACGGCATTGATCACAATAAATTCAACTTGATTGGCCAGATAGATTTGTTGCACAGCAGTTGTTCTCTTCCCACCTCAGCGCAAGCACTTGCCAGTGAAACGTTGCTGCTGCCTTTCAACCGTAGACCGTTCTGCCCGATAAAAGCTCACCTCGCTTTCAAATTATAATGTGTTGTATTGCAAGAAGGCCGTAGCACTATTCAGGCAACCTCAAAGGCACCCCTCGACAGCGAAAGAAAGACGCTCATGCACGCACCCGATGTACATTTGGAGGTAAAACATGGATGTAGTGCTCCTTACTTGGGCACACAAAGACAGATGCAACCTAAAAAAGGGGTGAATAGGATAACGGACTCCACTGTTCCTCTGATAAAAAGCTCGAGAGAAGACCAAGCCTTCAGGAGCAAGAAAAACGACTGGCCAACCAAAAGACGTCAGTCTCATTGTGGTCAAAAACAGAAAATATTTGTTTCTCAAGGCCGTGAGAGGGTCATGGAGGAGGCTGAGCTATCTCTGGATGAAAGACAGAACTGGTAGCAACAGAGAGAGGAGAAGCACGTGACTGCCAAGGCTAACTACTTTTTGAACACGCGTTCGTTTCGGAGTGTTTTCATCCTTCCTTAGAAGTATTTTATTTACCACCACTAATACTAAACTCTTCACCAACTATTATGTTTCCACTAATTTTCGGGCTTTCATCTCTAGATTCTTCGCCCCTGCGGGGTTTGTTGTGAGGAAGGTCATCTCGCTCGAAACTCTTGTCGTTCCCCTTAACGCCATATTTTCCTCCTGCACCATCACTGCTATCCTTGGCGATATTTTCTCTATCCTTCGTCACTACAGCACCACCATCTTCCTTTTCGCTCGCCTCACTACTGAAGTCCCAGCCTATTGGTGGAACCTGGTCGATCGGTAAACCGTGACATTTGAAGAAGTCACGCGTACCGAGAGAAACCGAGCTATACTTAAAGTTCGAAGCGAAACCCTCTCCGAATCCTGTTGACGTGGAAGGCTTGAGGCGAAAAAAGGCTGTGTGGGGTGTGATTCGGCACTATAGCGGGCAGCCCTGAATAGTGCCGGATTGGCACTATTCAGGCCTGTGTCTGTGCCGAGAAATTTTACCGGCACTATACCAGACGTTGGCACTATTCAGCCGGCACTATATCGGGACGCCTACTGGATAAAAGATGAATGTTAGATTTGTTGCCGTTTTACCGGACGATGTGTACGGAGGATCTCGAGATCGTATCTCGTACCTAGTAGGGGGGCTGTTTGTGCGTGTACTCGGCAGGACACGGATCTAATAGATCTCCGAGGGGATTGCAGATGTGATAGATATGGGTATGATTGATAGACTTGGTGCAGCAGGCTTAGCCTCTTGCTCATGTCTTTCACTCGTTAATACAAGGAACTTGAGTCAACTATTTGTGAAAAACGCTCTCAACAGGAGCCCGCGAGCGTGATGACGCAGTACATGCGCTGAACCCTAAACAAGACTTCGTTGGGACTAATATGTACTTTGACAACGAGTAATCCCTTTCGCCTCCGGCCGGTCAGTTTTCCCAGTTGTTGCACAGCCTCTTCTGCCTCACAACCACCACATTTTAGTCCTACTCGGAGGCCAGCATAGATCACCTCTCTAAGTTCCTTAGCAACCAGTAGCCCAGTAGGTCGTGACGGCCTCAAGGTCGATGCTCGGCTGAGTCGCATGTTTTTCCCCCATTCCCGATCACAGAATATTCCCGTTGACTTTCTCTCAACTCCTCGAGACATGGTCCTTCGCTCCTGATAGAGTGCCGGAGACGATGCAAGGGCGGGCAACCAGGAGTGCTCAGACAATAATGTACTTCGTTTTAGCGTTGGTCGTATTTCGCTACGGCTCTTTGCTGTGCGGAAGATATCTCGACGAGCCGTGCGCTGCCAAAGTGTACTCGCTACAATTGATCCCATGTAGACCGGAGACCACAAATGGTTTCGACAGCAGAAACCCTTCGTACGGTCTCTGTACGGGGCAAGCCCATCGGTCGGGTCGAGAACTACAGACCTCGTTCATCGTTCGCCGGTTTGGGGATCATCTGCTTTACAATCGATCCCGGATGGAATGTCCAATGCCATTTTTCTTCCGATTCAACGTTCTTGGTAGTGTCCATGCGGGACAACGCAAGCATACCATCGGCGTCTTCCTCGCCCTACCCTCTTCCCTGTTTCTCCCCTCTCCCACCTTTGGAGCTTCTAGCGCAAGAAGAGGGGGTCGGGCGACCCCAATTTCCATCGAGGATGCCGAACCCTCCAGTTGCTGGAAGGCAATGAGGGTGCGTATAGCCACCCGGAGTTTTCGTTTCGCGTTGAAGGTCCGCAACTTGGTCTGCATGGTGCAGGCAAGAGGCAACGCTATCGTGCTAAGTCATCAGTTTCGTGTCTTCAAGTAGGAGTCGTTTTCTTGGACGCTGGTAGTTCCATCAAGTGAGTCAATAGTTGCCACGAAAACGACCACGTCTTTGGCAGCCCTGAATACTTGTAGGCCTTGCATCCCCCCCCTCGCCCCCGTCCCTACGTGAAACCTCCCCGAAATGCAAAAGAACATACCAGTCGTCAGTCTGTGCAAGACATAAGTCGTAGTAGCTGACAGACTCCAAGGACAAAGGGCCTACAGCTCGCCCTCCCCCCCCCCCCCCCCCCCCCCCCCCCCCCCCCCCCCCCCCCCCCCCCCCCCC